AAATAGCATTCATGAATATCCGTGTCATGTTAGTGAGGCATCACACCAATAGACAAGCACACGTGGCCTCAAAAGACGGACGAAAACTTGTTCAAGCCATACCACTGCATCAGCAATGTTTCAGACCGACAACAAGCTTCTACTGCGCGTACCCTTACTGCGCCTTCACTTCATGCACGCTTCCTTGAATAGATAAAATTTGTGGAGAGCGCTCTACCGGCAGCTTGAAAACCAGCATTTCCGCGGTCGCTCACCAGATGCGGCAGTGGTCGACGCCATTCATGCGTGAGCTGGCCCGGCACTGCGAGTCACGTGCGAAATGTGCGGTGTTGTTGATGTTGATTGGTGTTTTAGGGCGCGCCGACTGCGGTGGCCATTTGGCGCCCATAACGATTTTTGTTTTACCTAACTAATGAATCGTGATGATGATGATGATCTGGGTTTTAGGGCGCGTCGACTTCTAGGGTCATTTTGCGCCCATAACAGCTAAGTGTTTACCGTGGTGTATGAATGGCTGTGAATCCTACGTTTCTCAAAAATGAAAACAGCTGTCCGGTGCCAAGCATGCGAGAATCGTCACCAATAAGGTCTGAAAAGGTAAGACCTGACGCATCTCGTCCGAAGTAAAGCGCCCGCTCTTCTGTGAACTGTGGGCAAGAGTGAATAACGTGGCGAACCGTAAGTGGCGCATCACAGCGGGGACATTTAGGGCGCTCTCCACCGCACAAAATGTAGCTATGTGTTGAGTGCGTGTGGCCAATTCGTAATCTGCTGAGGGTTACTTCTTCGCGTCTCAACTTACGTGAGCTTGAAGACCATGGACCCAGCTGTGGCTTGATCACCTTTAACTTATTGTTTACAATGGCGTCCCAGCAGCGTTGCCATTTCCCCTTCACAAAGGTCGCGATTGCAGGGTAAAATTCCTTTGCCGGCAAGAGTAAAGAACGGGCGCAAGGTGCACGCGCTGCCCGTTTTGCGGCCGCGTCAGCACGCTCGTTACCTGCGATACCCACATGACTCGGTATCCAGCATTAGTCGACAGTTTTACCTGCAAGATCCAGCGCAGTCAGGCGAAATAAAATATCCTGTATAATGGGACAAGGTGGGTTAAAGGTTGTCAGGGCTAACAGGCTGCTCAAAGAATCGGATAAGATCACACGTGAGTTGCTCTCACCAACTTCGATGAAGCATAGGGCTTTACTGATTGCAACGAGCTCGGACGTGTAAACGGAGGCGTGTTTCCGTAAAGAAAAGGACCGGGTGGCTTGGTCATTTACAGATGCAGCACCAACGCCTACCTCCGTCTTGGACCCATCAGAATATGTGGCTTGAAAACCTATGTACGACCCGATGTGCTCCAGAGCCTTCGATCTCAGGTCGCATGGGATCGCTCCCTGTTTGCTGGTGCATTAAAGGGATACATCCACTTTTGGTGAGATTAGCGCCCATGGAGGCACTAATACGGGACGCGACCTTAGCACACCATGCAAACTTATGTCGCTTTCCCGGAACAGCTTCTTCATATGCACACCAAATGGAATAGCGGACGGCCTTCCGCTACTTTGGAACTTGCTTTCCACATCACGTGAAAAGATTGCTCGGTGAGTCGGATGGTTGGGAAATTGAGCCAGCTTGCAAAAGTACCGCATGCCAAGCATTTCCATTTTCAGTGCCAACGCCGGTTCATTAACTTCCACGGTAAGGCTAGCAACTGGCGACGTTCTGAATGCCCCCGTCACAATGCGTAATGCGGTATGGTGCACGGTGTCTAATAAACGTTTGGAGGAACTCGGCGCGCAGTCATAAATAAAACAGCCATAGTCAAGTTTTGAACGTATAAGTGAGCGGTATAGCAGTAACAGTGTTCTTCTGTCCGCTCCATAAGATGTTCGAGACACATAATTGAATATGTTCAATGCTTTAAAGCAGTTGTCATGTAGGGTTTTCAAATGTGACCCACACGTTAAACGGTTATCAAACTGCAGACCCAAGAAGCGGGTACTGAATTCGTTCGGGATGATCTGGCCGTATAGCCTTAAAGCCATGGCGGGGCATTGACGACGTCGTCCGCAAAAGTGCATAGCGACTGTTTTCGAGGTCGAGAAACGTAGTCCGCTTACAGCAATCCGTCTTTCCGGACTGATCACAGCCAACTGCAAGCGACACTCCAAAGAAGCAAAGTTTGACGAGGCATACCAAATGGCGACATCATCCACGAAGAGAGAGCGAATGACCGACTTTGGAAGAGAGTCAGCAATATCGTTTACCATCACCGCGAACAAAGCGACGCTCAGAACACTGCCCTGGGGCACGCCATTATCTTGTTGGTACCTATCCGAAAAGTGCGAGCCAACACGAACTCTGAAGGAACGATCGGTCATAAAGTTCGCTAAGAACGTGCCCATGGCTCCTCGAATGCCATAATGAAAGAGCTTTTGCAGGATGCCATAACGCCAGGTCGTATCATAGGCTTTTCAACATAAAAAACACAGAGCCAACATGTCGTTTTTCACTAAAACTGGTGCGGATGTTTGTGTCGAGAGCTATAAGATGGCCGATGGTGCTGCGATTTTTCCTGGATCCACATTGAGCAGCCGTAAAAACGTTGCACCGCTCCAAAAATCACGATAAACGTACATTTACCATGCGTTCCATCAACTTACAAATCCATGATGTCAGTGAGATAGGGCGATATTTGGCAGGGTCAGCCCCACTCTTACCAGGCTTGAGCATAGGGACAATGTATGACTCACGTCAAGACTCCGGAAAACCTCCATTCGCCCAGAGTTTGTTGTACGTTGCTAAGAGGGCCTCAACTACTGAAATGAGGAGGTGCTTAAGCATGGCGTTGTGAACTAGATCCGGACCCTCTGCCACATTGCGCAGCGATCCGATCGCGGAAATTAGTTCGGCCATTGTAAAAGGTCGGTTGTACGACATCTGCTCCATCGTGCTGAAGTCGACAGGGGATGCCTTGCAGCGGATCCGGTGACGTATAAACTGTGGGACGGCATTGCCGTCACCACACCGTTCGGAGAATGCGCGAGCGATTTCATTTGCTACGTCAGCTGGGTGTATAATATCACGTCCATTGATACGGAGCACAGAGTGTGGTACAGACGAGTGCTGTCCCGCAATGAGTTTGATCCTTGACCAT